TTTAAAAATTTATCTGAGTGTAGCTCAGCATCCGCTGGACCAATCAAAAAGTGCGCCATACATTTTTTGTTCGAGACTCCCGGGTTAAGACTTTGGCGGTATTCTCGATTAATTATCTCGCAAATTTAATTTTTCAAAATTTTTTAAAAAATTTATCTGAGTGTAGCTCAGCATCCGCTGGACCAATCAAAAAGTGCGCCATACATTTTTTGTTCGCTACTTTTTGCTAAAGACTTTGGCGGTATTCCCGAACGATTATCTCGAAAATTTAATTTTTCGAAAATTTTTCATAAATTTATTTGAGTGTAGCTCAGCATCCGGTGGACTAATCGAAAAGTGCGCCATTCATTTTTTGTTCAGAACTTTCTTCTAATGACTTTGGCGGTATTCCCGAACGATTATCTTGAAAATTTAATTTTTCGAAAATTTTTCCAAAATCTTTTTGAGTGTAGCTCAGCATCCGCTGGACCAATCAAAAAGTGCGCCATACATTTTTTGTTCAGAACTTTCTTCTTATGACTTTGGCGGTATTCCCGAACGATTATCTCCAAAATTTAATTTTTCGAAAATTTTTCATAAATTTATTTGAGTGTAGCTTAGCATCCGCTGGACCAAACTAAAAGTGCGCCATACATTTTTTGTTCGAAACTTTTTTCCTATTTTATTCGCGGTATTCCGGAACGTTTATCTCGCAAATTTAATTTTTCTAAATTTTTTCCAAATTTGTTTTCTAGTGTAGCTCAGCATCCGCTGGACCAATCAAAAAGTGCACCATACATTTCTTGTTCGCTACTTTTTGCTAAAGACTTTGGCGGTATTCCCGAACGATTATCTCCAAAATTTAATTTTTCATAAATTTATTTGAGTGTAGCTCAGCATCCGCTGGACCAAACTAAAAGTGCGCCATACATTTTTTGTTCGAAACTTTTTTCCTATTTTATTCGCGGTATTCCGGAACGTTTATCTCGCAAATTTAATTTTTCTAAATTTTTTCCAAATTTGTTTTCTAGTGTAGCTCAGCATCCGCTGGACCAATCAAAAAGTGCACCATACATTTTTTGTTCGCTACTTTTTGCTAAAGACTTTGGCGGTATTCCCGAACGATTATCTGGAAAATTTAATTTTTCAACAATTTTTCCAAAATGTTTTTTAGTGTAGCTCAGCATCCGCTGGACCAATCAAAAAGTGCGCCATACATTTTTTGTTCAGAACTTTCTTCTAATGACTTTGGCGGTATTCCCGAACGATTATCTTGAAAATTTAATTTTTCGAAAATTTTTCCAAAATCTTTTTGAGTGTAGCTCAGCATCCGCTGGACCAATCAAAAAGTGCGCCATACATTTTTTGTTCGAGACTCCCGGGTTAAGACTTTGGCGGTATTCTCGATTAATTATCTCGCAAATTTAATTTTTCAAAATTTTTTTAAAAATTTATCTGAGTGTAGCTCAGCATCCGCTGGACCAATCAAAAAGTGCGCCATACATTTTTTGTTCGAGACTCCCGGGTTAAGACTTTGGCGGTATTCTTGATTAATTATCTCGCAAATTTAATTTTTCAAAATTTTTTAAAAAATTTATCTGAGTGTAGCTCAGCATCCGCTGGACCAATCAAAAAGTGCGCCATACATTTTTTGTTCAGAACTTTCTTCTAATGACTTGGGCGGTATTCCCGAACGATTATCTCCAAAATTTAATTATTCGAAAATTTTTCATAAATTTATTTGAGTGTAGCTCAGCATCCGCTGGACCAAACTAAAAGTGCGCCATACATTTTTTGTTCGAAACTTTTTCCCTAGTTTATTCGCGGTATTCCGGAACGTTTATCTCGCAAATTTAATTTTTCTAAATTTTTTCCAAATTTGTTTTCTAGTGTAGCTCAGCATCCGCTGGACCAATCAAAAAGTGCGCCATACATTTTTTGTTCGAAACTTTTTCCCTATTTTATTGGCGGTATTCCGGAACGATTATATCGCAAATTTAATTTTTCGAAAATTCGTCCAAAATGTTTTTGAGTGCAGCTCAGCATCCGCTGGACAAATCAAAAAACGCGCTATACATTTTTAATCGAAACTCCCGTGTTTATTTTTACCTAGCTGAGCATCGAACAAAAAATGTTTTGCGCACTTTTTGATTGGTCCAGCTGATGCTGAGCTACATTGAAATAAATTTTGGAAAAAATTTCGAAAAATTAATTTTTCGAGATCGTTTGTGAATATCACTAAAGTCTCAACCCGGGAGCCTCTAATAAAAAATTTATGGCGCATTCTTTTTTATAAAATGCTAAGTTATTTTATGGGTTATTAATGGGTCCTTGAAAATCTGTAAATAGTAAAATTGAAAAAAATTTGCTTTGACTAGTTAAAAAAGGCAATGAAATACTTAAAGAATAATTCATATAAATGTTGTAATTTTTTTCGCCTCCCTATGACAACAGTGAACAATCCTTGATTCCTATTTGCTGAAATATTCACCATAACAGTATTCGATTGAATGCTCATTCCCCAGTCAAATTCCCGATACTATTGCTCGTTAATGTAAACGCGTTTTCAACGCAAATGCAATTAAATTCCCTGCTATCGAGAACGAACTGTCGTAGTATATATGACAAGAAAATCGACGAGTAAAATGAATTCTAATGTTAAAGTGAATTTGTGAAATTTATTTTTTAGTGAAATGTTAAAAAAAAATTTGCATACGACTTCATAAAATTGTTTATTGTAAAGTGGGTCATGAGAAGCATTTTTAGCATGATTTTTTTTTAAAATAAAAACTACCAGAGAACTAGTGGAAAAAGAAAGCGACTAGTGGTCAGTTTATTTTGCAGCGACAATTTTATGCTTCCGTAACTGTCCTCGTTAAGTTTGGTGCGATTAGGTTGTTATATTTATACGTGACGCTGAATTCTTCATCATGGCGAACTTTATCTACAATGCATTTTCATAATCCAGGTATTTTAATAAAATGAAAATAATATTCCAATTAATAAGAATTGTTAAATTCTATATATTATTATTTAGTTTTTAATGAGAAAATTATTTAGAAATTTTTTTTAAAAATAACAACATTTCAATTTTTTAATGAAAATAAAGTAACTACAACAATTTTTTCTTCAACGAAACATTGACATATCAATAGTTAAATAAAACATTTCTATATTTGGATTTCTAAAAGAAGAATTTCAATATAAAGTCCTATATAGTGGGAATAATTTTAGACTCGTTTAATTATTTTTACTCGTCTCGAGCGTTAATTCTTTTTTCTTTTTGCCTGTCTTCGGCGAAAGCTTGGGATTCCATATTCATGCAAAGAAAATTTAAAAATAAATTTCGCATAAATATGCGGAATTTTTCGCGCTTTAAGTAGGCTCTTCGGTTCCTCTTGTGTCGTTCGACTTTCAGAGAACTTTTTAGGTTAACTGCAAATTCTTTCTAGTTTTTACTTGCGGTTTTTAAGCTTCGAGCAAATTGCCAATCGGTGAAATAATATTTTTAATTTAATTATTTTCATTCTCGTCAAACCTTAAAACTCTACACTTCATGAATGAAACATAAAACTTGTTTGAGGGTTAGGTCAGAGTACATTAATTGATTAATTAAAATCAATAATTTATTGAAATTTAATCCAAATTACTAACATAATATTTAAGTTAAATTAATGAATATTAAATTAAAATATTCACTTTAAATATTATTATATAAATGATTTTTTCTGGATAATTAATAATTGTTTAGAAGAACAATCATATAATCCTTCTTTTTATAAGGTTTTGTATTATTACCTTAATACGTGTATTGATGGTACACTGGAAATTGGTTAATATCGTTGAAAACTCGTTTAAATCAGAACCTTGGAACCTTGATATAGATTTGAATATCTTGAACAGGAACTTGAACTTCAATTGGGAGAATTTAAATAACTGTCTAAGTACTGGAGAAAGAATTAGAAGAAAGAACTTGGAATTAGAATGAATAATTGTTTGAAAGTATTTTAGAAAGAGAAATATACATTCTTTTATTTAGTTTAATGATATGTGACATTTCTTCTGCGTTCAGGTCAGCGATACTACATTTGTGATTATTATAAGCAATAAAACTGTCACAGTTTCACATCGTCTTCTTATCGCTAAAGGACAGACATTTCTGAATTTCCCATTTGGTATTCTACGTTCGCGAATCTCAAATTTACCTTACGGCGAGGACGCGAAAATTTTTCTCAATTTTCCGCCCGGGAAATAAGTGTGCAAGGCTTCAACTTAAACTACTGAAATCTTAGAAAGTTTTAAGACATTTTTATACCAAACTTTATACAGAGGGAAATCTCTTTAAGTACAAGAAAAAAAGTCAAAGCGTTGATTAAAACCGATTTTAAGTTCAAATTGAGATTCAGCGAAAATAATTCATTCAAGTGTGAAAATAAAGGACGTTAAATACATTTACAGTAAAAGCTGAAGAAGCTTCGACCAAAAGTAAATTAATTTATTTAAAGGGCGACAAAATTGTAAAGTAGCTCATTGTAGGTATATTTAAACACCGAGAAAATACACTTTGAATTTATATTTTGTGATTGTAATGTTTAATTACTTTGATGGATTATAATTTTTATTGGATTGTATTATTTATTTTGGAAAAGATTTTTGTAAAATTTTTTTGTTATTTTTATACTAGAAAATTTCTTTTTTTGATCATAATAACAGATTTAAAGATGGTGTTGCGCCTTGGGCTTTCCGCACACTAATAAATAAAAGCTCATATATATGGAGAGCTTTTCTATCTTCGCTTGAAGATTGATGCGCATGCAGTAAAACTTACTACCTCAGACTTTCGTATTTTTTACAGTCTATAATTAATTCATAAATGTGTACCAAATATTTAAAACATGTTTTTTTAAATAAATTCACTTATTCTTCATTATTCAATAAATATTTTTTTTAATTTGGTTAAATCAAAATTAGTGAGTAGAAGAATAAAAACGTGTATAGAGTAATAAATTGAAGAAGCTCACCTTTTGACGATCCTTCATAGAACCTCTACCCAAGACTGCCATCTTGCACATCGTCTCTTCCTGCAGGCGTTTCATGGAGTTACCCTTGGGACCCAATAGTTTTCCAACAAAATTGAACTGAAACAAACAGATAAAACCACTATTTTCGCGTCTTCATAAAAATGGAATTGTACAATCTGAGAACTTATTTTAAAACTTTTATCCAACCTTATTTATATCAGAAGTTATTATTAATAATTTAGGTCCTTTCTTTATTATCAATACCATACCATTTTCGAGATTTTTAAATGATTTTAAGGCACATATTTATCTATGTTTGAGACGTAACACATGTTACAATAAACGTTAAATTCTTAAGTTAATTAAACAGATGAATGACTAGCGGTTGTGTTAATATAGTATCTAGTATAGAATGTTTGTAAATGTCAAATGCAGGTAATGCAAGAGATAGAATCGGAAGGAAAGTTTTGGGTTTTAAGCATATGTTACAGGATATACAATACAACGTCGCCTGAAGCTGTTTCTGATCAACGAAAATTCAAAATTTCAATCTGTCCTAGTATACAACTATAATTCAATCAATGAACTACTCATATTCATGTTATTGTTACATAAAACAAGACAATTTATCACTCCAAGTAAATTAATAATATTTATTTTCATTTCATTAATTCAGTACTATAAAATATTAATAGTAAAAAAAGTTTCTAAACTTTTATTTTAAAAACAAGCGTCTGAAAAATAAGTTTTCAAATTATAAAAATTAAAACTTTTTATTACTTATTTCTTTTTACTCTGAACCTCAACTATTTTTTCACGAGAAATACTTTTAAAAAATTATGTTGTCGAAATTAACGCAGTGAGCAAAGAAATTTTATCTGACCAACAATAGTTTATCCGTGTAAAGAATTAATAAAATGTTTATACTGTACTATTAAATTTACGCCTGGTTTAAATTTCCTACTTTAGTATAAGTTTAACTGGACAGTTAAAAATTCGTTGCTCCTTAAAATATTTGCTGCTCGTTGCAGTTTATACTTTACTTGCCTCTAAAATTCCCACTCGAAGTATTTTGTAAAAGAGAATTTGTTTTAAAAAAATATATTAGTAAATATTTTTCTTTTTACAATTAATTTAATTATAGTACCAATCAGTCGAATTGAACATTTTTGTAATGATAAAACAAAATGACTTTTATTGTTACATTTTAATCCTATACAGAAAAAACATGGACTATAAACGAATTTAATTAATATTTCGAAAATATTTTCGCAATTTATTCACAAAAAGCTTAATACCCTACTCTCCCCAATACAGTGTATTATTCATCAAAGTGCAATCATTTTTTTTATTTAACTAAAATGTTATTTCCTTTAATTTTCAATAACTTTAAATATATCAAAAAATTTTAGATATTGAATTAATGTCCGATACGTCAATTCAATTTTACTAATATAATTATGTAAACAGCATGTACATATATAAATATACTCCCGATGGACTGCGGGGAATCTATGCAAATAAATAAACAAAAATTTAATTTTCGTTTTAATTAATGTTTAATTTATTCGTATTATTAAATATAAGTATTCCTTATGTATTCTAATTATTAAATTATTAGATTCTTTTTCCCTTAACCCTTTTTTTTTGTTAATTAATGCTAGTTTTTTTTCATAAGAATCATAATGTATAACTAGTTGTCGCAATACAATTTCTTTGCGCATCTCATCATTAATTTCATTGATGTCAGTAGGTGAGTTTAAACAGAGCTTTTTAAAATTAAAGCTCAAAGACTCTGAATTTCGCCAAAGTACTTTGTGCTAAAATGTAAACTCATCAGATGAACAAAGATCTGATTTTCATATAATTTTCAGTTTTAATTAGGACCTCCTTTACTTTAAAGACTAATTTAATTTCAAATGTATCTTAAACATTTATCATTTTTTATTACAGTTAACTCACCATTTATTCCCTTAGAAAAAATATTTTAAAAATTATTTTAAAAATAATAAAGGAGCGCTCATTCTATCTTATTCGCCCCGAGCGCAATTTCGTCTAAAGTCAACCCGGCAAGTAAACTTATATAATAAAATTACAGTTGCTAAGAGATTCTTAAGCCATTTTCATTTTTTTGTATCTCTATCATAAAGCGTCCAGAAATGATATTTAAAACGATAATTTAACGGAGATTTAAAATTTTTTTTATTATATTTATTTCAATTCATTTAACTTCTTCACATCCAAGAATAATTGGATATTTAAGATCATGTGAATGTTGTAGTTTAGGATATAACAGATGTGAAGAAATTAAAACTAAATTTTTTAGCATAAGACTATCTTTAATAACATTAGTGATTCTTCAAAAGCTTATTGAATCATCGGGTTTTCACTGTAATTGATTCGGTTCAATATATTACAGCTCTGGTAAGTGCTGACTTCATCCATCAGTATCGAGAGATTTAGGGCATTTACCAGTAACGAGGTTTTCCTGTAATCCCATAGTAATAATTTTTTCGTCACAAAATATCATTTTTGAAGAATTAAAACAGTTTTTGTATTTGCAAATTCATTTGAGTTATATTGATCAATTATTTAATTTCTAAAGATTCATAATTCGTTTCAATATGTTAACTTTCAGTAATTTTAATTAAAGGAAATGAGAAAAATAAAGAGATGATTTATTTCTAGTATAATTTTTACGGTTTAAAAGTCTATAGATGTTGTGTAGCTGACGACTGTTGCGTTTATTGAAGCACATCGTGATATCCTATATATTGAACAAATTATTCGCTTTGCGTTCAATGGTCATCTCGACTCACAATACTCAGCAGAATGTTCAGTCATCGATCGTTTACGAGGGAAGTTAATGTGAACATATTAGCATTTTCGGCAACAGCTTTTGTTCACGCACGCCGCGTTAGATTCGATGATCATACCGTACGACTGTATTCGAACTAGAAACTAAAATATGTTCTAGTCAGTAGACCTAGATTCGTGCATTAGGCCATTTCATAATTTACACACGACTAGATACATTTCACGTACTCTATTCTGTATAACAATAATATATTTATATTAGTACCTCATCAAAAACACAACTTCGATACAAAAATTTATGTCAAGTAGTGAGGGAAAATCGCGGATTATAGCTCAATCAATTTAAAGTATCTTACTCACACACCCAAACATTTTGAATTTTACTAGTCCCGTGAAAATAAGGGTAGGGACGTGTCCTTTATAAGCCGAGGAAATGCACGTTTCTGTCTCTTTATTCTGAACAGTGTTTAACTGGTAAGAGCTTCTTTTTATATTATAAATATAAAGAAATTTTCAGTATTACAAAAACTTCAAAGTCAAGTCTTTTATACTTGGAAGTACTGATTGTCAGGGGTATTCGCAAGATTTCTACCAACAAGATTGGTTTTCTGAAAATTATCAATAAAAATTATTGATAGAAGAAATAATAAATAATAATGGTTTTTTTTATTCAACCTCACTTGGAGTGATTAATATTATCAACTGCGTATTACTATAATTAAAAATTTCAAGTATCTAATAAATAATAATTTTAAAAATCAAGAATGATAAATTAATTTACTTAAAGAGTGAAATAAAACAAAAATAAGAAACGTTATTAATGAAATTTTCGATTTAAAGAGAAAAAATTTGCAGTGAAGACATGTTTCATTAGTCAAAATGAAAAGTTCAGATTTAGAGAGTAACATATCTTCTAGAGGAAACAAATAGGAAATAGAGAAAATGCAGCAAGTAATTAAAGAAGTGGTGCAGTTTTCTCAATTTCGTCTTTTTTCCTTCAAGGCAATTTATCTTACAAAGTTAAATTCATGATTTGGTAATTTTTCACCAACTTTTTTTTTTTTTGCAATCCGACATTCAGTACGCAATCGATTGGAAATAAATCATATGGACGTAGTAATTGTGCAATGAATATAATTGTAGTAATTAATGAATATATTATAATTTAATGAATGAATATAATTAATTAAAGTAATTAAACGAAATGATACTAAAATATTTTCAAGAGTATAAAATATATTGTCGAGTATGTGCAATTTCTAACATATATATATATGTATATACATTTAGATAGTGAAAGTAATTAAAAGAATGCAACAAAACTGATGTAGACAGTGATTAAAAATGCCAGAGAGTATGAGATGCACTTATACGGTGTGGAACGTGGAAATGAAGATTTACTTTTTTGGCACGCCTAAATGTATATATAATAAAATAACGTGTGTTGAAGTTGACGCAGATTGAAAGAAACTTTTTTCTATTTAATATATACGTATGCGTATGTACTTGTAAAGTTAGGATGCATAATCAGTGTGATGCACTTCTCGAGTTAAAATTAAAAAAAAACAGGTTGGACGTTGCTAGCTTCCATTAAAAATGCACCAACGATGCAAATCTCGACGAATTTCGTAAAAAAAAATGCAAGCCGTGCAAAATGCATCCACTTAAACTTCGCTGTCCAACAGTTGGTATACTCGATAAACAGTTTTCATTTATTTGCATTAAACTTTATCGTTTTTATGGTCTCAAATAAGTCAGATAAAATTAAGTTCTAATCCCTTCAAGGATTTAAATTTAATAAGCTTTCAAGTTATACGATAATTCTAGTTAATATCGTATTTAACCTAAAGTTAAATTTGTTTAACAAAAATTCATAATTATAAACGGCAGGTTCGTAATTAAAATCATATTGTAAATCACGATCACAATTTTATATCAGATTCACATTATGCTCAATCAGAATTTACATTCAAATAATAATTCATGAAAATCATATACCAAAGAAGAATTATTTGTCAGATGAAAATTATTTTTTTAAATTATGATCAAGTGGAGCAATTTTGGAAATTTAATTTTACTTTTAGTTTATTGGGGAAGAAAAAATCACTGAATTAGAATAAAAGCATATTCCAATTAAAAAGTTTAAAGCCTTCAAATACAGTCGTTAGTACAAAAATAATATTGGTTATATATAAAATACGTTTGAAAATTGATAACTATTATTTATTGAGCAGTAAAATTCCTCAGTGATTGATATAGTTACTTTTTTTTGACGTACTTTCTTCTTTTTCCATCAATTG